AGCATTTCTTTCTACACAAGATATTATAGTAACAGAGGTGATCGCTGATAAGGAAATATAGGAATTATGAACAGTTTGATTTACTCACAAAAAAACCCCAAAACCTTACAACAGCAGAACTGCAGAAACTTTATCTGATGAAAATGTTTTATGATTTTGCAAACAGTGAATGTGAGACTTGGAATAGGTTGGCTAAGAAACTTTATGGAAGTCAGTTTATTCACCATGGGATTAAAAATGTCTCTGCCAAGAAGTTTGTCTAACCTGTTTTTCAGAAGTGACAGGAAGATTTTATAATCTTCCTGAATTATTCATTACTGAATTGTCTGATAAGTTAGAAAATGTATCAAAGCTATTTCATTCATAAATAGTACCTCACCTAAATGCCCTGATTTCTATGGACATTTCTCATTGCCTGCTCAAAATGGTGAGTCTGCTCCTCTCTCTAGATGCAGGACTTCTGAAAGCACAAATGCAGTCTATCTGGAAGGTGGGCAGCAGCACATAGATTTACCTTATAATGATGGAACACTTTGAATTTTGATGCCACCTTTGCCATATGGACATTCTCCTTTTTGCTTCCACTTATTAAAAAAATAAATAAAAGTAAAAATACCCTTTTGCCAATTCTACAGTCAGCCCAGACAACCTCATGAGTACCAACATGCAGCTTGTAAAGAAACAGCAGTAGAACATCAAGGTCTCATTAGTTTGTTTTCAGTTTGCACCTCTGAAGATATCTGTTGACCATCTTGTCATCCTGCATATTATTTAAAGCAACTACAACATCAGTAAGATGCCTTTACAAGTCTGCAAAGATACAGTCATGATCCTTTCAGACTTTCATCTCCTTCTGCTCTGTAAAACCAGACAGGAATTCATACAGAAGTGCATTCTTTGCGCCTTACAAACCCAGGAGCTGAGCTCTTCTCTGATGGGACAGGACTGACATGATAGCAATGATTTAAACTCCAAACATATCAAAGGTAAGCAAAGTATGTACATACAAAGCAGCAAATATATGGCTCAAAAATGCATGGCTCTTTGCAAAAGAAGAGCAAAGAAAAAAAAATACACAGATTAACATTTTAAACTCTATGTGCGTGTAGCCCTTGCCATGGGCTTCAGGAGAGGCATTTCTTTGAATATCTGCAATATTATCTCAAATTTGAGCATGCTGTATTGCTACCAGCATCTGAATTAGCTTGTTTAAAACTAGTTCTGCTGTGTCAGTTGCACACTACAAGCACATCCCTTGCTAGATAAAAGAAACTGTCTGAAAAGAGATGGCAGGCTGTTAGTATGTATAGAAAGCTATCTGCCATATGAGGAATAAGTTGCTTGACAGTATTAGAGGAAACAGAGACATCAAAGCTGGACTTAACCACTCATATGCTTGCTAATGAGCACTAATAGCAAATTAGATTACATCAGATTGGATTAGAGCTCTCAGAGAAAATGTCACACACTTTCATCAGCTGTGTGGCAGATTAGACTATGATTCCAGAGTAAAGAAGGAAGGCAACAAGAAATTCAAGTTGCCTTGGCTGGAAAGAATCATAGAATTGTTTGAATTGGAAAGGACCTCTAAAGGCCACCTGGTTCAACTCCGCTGCATGGAAGATGGACACCTACTCTAGACCAGGTGCTCACAGCCCCATCCAGCCTGACCCTGAATGTCTCCAAAGACATTCTCGAAGACTACATCTCTGGGCAACCTGCACCAGAGCCTCAGCACTTTCTCTGTAAAAAATGTCTCTTATATCCAGTCCAAATCCCCCCTATTTTAGTTTGAGACCACTTCCCCATGTCATAATCACAATAGGCCTGCTAAAGAGTCTGTCCCCTTCTTTCTTTTAGCCCCTCTTTAGATATTGATAGGCCACTATCAGCACAAAGCATCTTTCAGAAATTCTGTGAAAGCTGAGTCAGTCACCTACAGTCAGGAGAGCGGTGTACGTTTCATTAGAACATTCTACTCTTATGGGCATGTAAATTACTCTGCTGCTTTTTAAAGCAGTTCTTTAGTAAGTCATAAACCCTGCCCACAGGTATTCACATGCCATGACTGCACAGCCCCTGAGAATGTCAGCCCATGTGTGTTGCTGCTTCGCTTCCCCACTCTTTAAATGTGTTTGTTCCTATGTGTCCTAGTGACCGACATCTTTCCAAGTCTCGGCAGTAATGAATCATTTTGCCCTCCTCGTCCTGCTCCTTCAGCGGAGATGAAGTCAAAAAAGCTCAGCACGGTGCACTCCAAAGCCTCGAGCTCCCTCTGCAGCATTTGGGAAGGAATCGTCATACCTCAAGGAACCTATGTGGTAAGGAACCGGATCGTTTAATTTCTGGGAAACGTCTGCTGAAATCTGAGCTAGTCGAACAAATCGTTTCCATTAAATTTTATTCTAATGAGATGCCGTTATGATCTGTTGACCCTGGCAAATATTTTCCTTGCAAACCCCATCCCAAACCACTTTCAAAGGAAACTGGAGGAAAGCATGTTGCTCCAGGATTTTCATCTGTGAATGTGCAGTTAACAGCTCAGATTCAGACATAACAGAAGGTGTTACTAAATTACTATGTCAGATGTTAAAAGTGAATTCAAAAGCATTTAAGCAATGAGTTACGTCTTAAATAATGATTTTTATTGCATAGTTCTGTGTTTGTTACTAATTTAGATTCCCTGAAAATTACACAGACATATGGGATTGTTTTCACACCTCCTCATACGTCAGTGCAGAATGTGGCCACTGAGTTCATACAAACCTATGAAAATCTCAGGTGATGTTGATTTCAGTTGCATGAAAGGGACTGAGGATAAAGGTATAAATTACGCTGATTTATGTAGGCTTCATTCATGTAGGCTTGTTTCTGAATTGAGCACAAGCTACGTGCCATATGCTTTGGTCCTTATACGTTTTTGCTTTATAGAGTGTATGGGAACTGCTGAGTCACGGCCTGAACCTCTGATTGATCACCTGAGGTGAGCCTTGAGTCAGCCAGAGGAGCACAGGTGAAGGCAATTCACCTGTGCTGCCGGAAGGGGTGGAGCCAGGCTCCACCCCTCCTGGACCTATTTAAGAGCTGGCTACCAGAGGGGAAGGATCTCTTCTGGAGATCCCCTCTTTTGGTTTCTTCTAGTGAGCTTAACCCAAGGGTAAGCTCTTCCACTTATTCTCTTTTGTGATCCTTGTTTGCTTTGCCTTACTCTTTTGATTATATTGCGATTATAACATTTTGATATCTATTGATTATACACAATTATATTGTGATTATAACATCTTGGTTATACAATAGAGTCATTGTTCTGGCAATATTAAAGTGAGATTTTAATTAATCAGGTTTTTTTTGTTTCTTGTTGTTTTTTACCTCTTGTATTGCAATTGGGACTTCTGTGTGCTTTCTAAATTAATCCACGCACATTCCTCCTTGGCTTGAACATGAATAAAATGTGTAGTTCATTCCTCCACACACTGAAGAATCTTCAGGACTACAGGGAGAAAATACATCCCTGAGAACATGCACAGCTCATTCCTCCCATGTGACCATGCAATATCCAATTTGTAGCAATTAGGGACTCCCAAAATCCTGCTTTAAACTGGTTTAGTTCACAGATGGACTTAATGTCTGTAGCTAGTTCTGTATACTGGCTTTCTTGATTATATGCAAGACTAGATCTGCATAATAGACTGAAACAGGATGCTGAAAATCTAGCAATTTTATCTAAGGAGAGATTGTTTTGGAGTTTGGAGTTAAATTGGGAGTTTTAGAAATGTTTTGAGAGTAGTAGGAGTTGTACCTCAGCTTGGAATGTGAGACTGGGGAAGAAGATGTAGAAAATGATAACTTCCAAGTTTATGTATCTGCAACTGCAATCTACGCCAAGAATCATAGTTCTATTTGTGTACTGCAGTGACAGTAAATTGAAGGATGTACTAGAAGCAATCTAGTAATGGGGTAGCTTGGGGAATCAACCAAAGGAACAAGGAAAGTCCTGAATTACCTATCTGTGCTGTGAGACAAACCAGTATGGTTGCTCTGAACTTTAGAGACATACAAAACAATGGCATGAACTTGAATTCTCCCATTCAACATAAGTTCACAACCTTTCACCTTGTGTAAGAATTGGTTTTAAAATGTGGACACTAAAGATTTGCCTTGCTTCTTCTGTTTTAAAGGTCAGGAGTTATTTCATGTCACAATTAATCTTTGCAAGTAATAAGACTGCTACAAGAACTCCCATGTTGCTAGTGAATGGCTCAGGCAAGGGCAGAGGTTCCTTTCTTGAGCAGCTTCCAGGGACATAATGCGCACAGCAATATCTCTTTGAGAAAGGGGCTCTGATACTGCACTTCTTACTCTCTGTTGGCTCCTTTCATCAGTGTATAACCCCAAATAATCCTCATTCATTTAGCTGGTAGGTAAAACATTATGTGATAAAGCTCACAAAAAAGCCAGTAATTGTGCACTTACAGGGAACATACAGGCCTCCCAACTGAGGCATAGATGCATTACTATAATGACAGCCCAATCAAAGCCAAGGTGTAGGGAATTGGCACTACTGCTTGAGCAGCAGGAGATGGGCAATCTCACATTTGGCTCCAAGCACACATTTTTAATTCAGTACTATGAGACAAGTCAGTTAATCTCCAGGGGATTTTGAGCAGTGTGTGGTTCCTAATTAACAGGCCAAGTGGTAACGAGCACAATGACTGGCACTTTGGTTCTGCCAAAGCCCCACACGCTTCCAGGTGGCAGGGAGCCCTGCAGTCCCAAGGCAGGGAGCCGAGGTGTCTGAGCAGCCCCGTGCGAAGGGGGCCCCTTCCTCGTAATAAACTGGAAGCACGTGAGTCTCTTTGCTCTCAGACACAAACCGCGTGGCACAGCTGATAGGCACTACCACACCCCTAAGAAACACCGGCTGCCATCTTCTGACGGCTGCGGGAGAGCCCGCCGCCGTGACGTCACTTCCGGCCCGGCTGGCGCGGGTCAGCACCCCGCCGTAGCGGGGCTGGGCCGGGGCGGGCTTCGCGTTCCCGCGGTGGCACTGCGGAAGCGCGAGTGAAATCCGCCGCCAGGGTGGAGTGTGCGCTCTGTGCCTCTTGGTGCCGGCTGCGCTGTAGGCCTCAGCCCCATGGATCCCTTTCTGGCTCTGCTGAATTCTTTGTCCGCCTGTCTGTCTGCCAGCGAGCTGCACGATCTGAAGTTTCTGTGCCAGGACAAAATTGGGAAAAGGAAGCTGGAGTCTGTCCAGAGTGGCAGGGAGCTCTTCAACTTCCTCATGGAGCAGCAGCTGATTTCAAGTCACAACGTAGACTTGCTTAAAACCATGTTTAAGAGCATTAAAAGAGAAGATTTGGTCTTACGGCTGGAGCATTTCATAGAGGAGGGAGAAGCCAGCGCTCCTGATGAGCGGCCTGACATGAAGGAAAGACGTAGGTGCAGCTTTTTATTTTTTTCGTTATTTTTTTCAAAGTGATCCCAGTAAACGTGTGTTTGAGGCGTGAGAGTGCTCAGCCCTCAGTTCCCATCTGTGGCTGCTGCTAACGGTGCTGTTGCAGGGACGGTGTCATACCCTGGAAGCGTACCGTGAGGGCAGCATATGCTGCGAGCAGCTGCTCCTTTAGCCCTGGTCACCGAGTCACAGAATCGTAGGGTTTGGAAAGGAACTCTATAGAGTCCAACCCCCTTAAGTCCTGCTAAAGTAGGTTCGCTAACAGCAGGTTGCACAGGTAGACAGTTAGGTGGGTCTTCAATATCCCCAGAGAAGGAGATTCCATCACTCTCTGGGCAGCCTGTTCCTGTGCTTTGTCATTCTGACAGTAAAGAAGTTCTTCCTTGTATTGCTGTGGAACTTCCTGTGTTTCACTTTCTGTATGTTGCCCTTGGCTCTATTGCACACCACCGCGAAGAATCCACTCCTATCAACATGACTCCTGCACTTCAGATATTTGCAGTTATTAGTCTTCTCTCATTCTCTCTTCTCCAGACTGAGGAGTCCCAGGTCTCTCAGCTCTCAGCCTGGTGGTTAATTGGAAGCCCTGCTCTGTAGTAGGAGCTTCCAGTGCACGCAGTAGCTTTTCATTATGAGTGATACATCAATAATAGTGTTTTGCTTAAAAAAAGTATCTTTCTTTGTATGTCCTCACATATGTATTTCTGCTGTTCCAGGTTTGCAGAAGGTAGTTATCGAAGTTATATGCGAAAACGTTGGGAGAGACTGGAGAAGGCTGATGCGAAAACTTGACCTTTCTGAAGTGAGGATAGAGAGAATAGAAGAAGACAATCCACGGAATTTGCGGGAGCAATTGGTTCAGTCACTTCGAGAATGGCAGAAATTGAAGGGGAAAGATGCAAAGGTGACTGACCTAATAAAGGCTCTTCGAGACTGTAATATGAATTTAGTGGCAGACATAGCTGAAGAGAAGCTCTCGCGTCTGAACACAGAAAACATGTGAAATGAAGGGAAAAGCACTTTCACATCACAGATGCAAGTGAAGAAAGAAGCAAAAGTGCCTTTTGATCATCTGTCATTGGCTCTGTTAATTCTGCCATTAATTTATGTGCCTTAAAATTAATAGGTTAATTTCAGATCAGGTTATAACTAATGTGAAAACAAATCCTTCCTTCCAGGCAGTGCTTTGCAGATGGTGCTTCCTTTAAGAGATTTTAACTTTTGGAATACAAATTTTTTGCAGAAAATTCTGAGACTTTAGTTTTGCCCCCCATCTGAAAATAATATATGCTTTATTGCAGATTCCTTACAAGTGCCTTGTCTGTAATTACATCCATGGGACACTTCTGAGGGAACTGACAATTTCATTTTATATATATATATATATATATATGTATATATCATATACACATGTATATGTGTGTGTATATATATACATGAATATTCCAACCTCCTAATAAAAAGTATATATATATATATACTTTTTAAGTGATCTGTTTGTAACTAGTGTGAAAAGGGGGAAGGAGGCTGAGCTCTTAGCTATGTAGTGAGTCTTCTCTTTGTTTTGAGTAGCATAAGGTAATATCTTCCATAGTTTTTGAACACCTTTGGTATCAGTAAAATAATTCAAAGAAGACTGTAAGCTCGGTCTGTAAGACATCAGTGCATTAGGACTTATAACTACTGTAGTGGGTTTTTTGGCAAAAAATGTGCCTGGATTGAAAAACAATCTCGTTGAAATTAATTATCAAGTGCCTTTATACACAGAATGGTTTAGGTTGGGAGGGTGCCTCTGGAGGTTGTGTGGTCCAACTGCCTGCTGAAGCACAAGTACATAGGGCAGGCTGCCCAATACCATGCCCAGGCAACATTCCAGAGGAAAGATAGCACAACTTCTCTGGGCATCCTGTGCCAATGCTCTGTCACCTGCACAGTACAAAAGTGATTATGGATGTTTACAGCAGACTTTTTTTTTTTCATTGCCTTGAATGCTTTAAGATTTTCTAAAGCTAGTCATCTCATAATCCATATCGGGGAATCGTGGTCGTGTCTGCTGGATGCTGCAGCTCACCTCATCAGTCAGCCACAGTTACCTGTGGTCTTGGTTTTAAAAAAAATAATAATTAAAAAAAAATGCTGTAACAGGAACTTAGAAAACAAAAATGACTTCTTTTTAGTCAAGGAGCGTGAAAGCTTAGGGGAAGAGTACTAACTTTCTCTTCAGTGATATCCTGTGAAGATCAGATACCTTTTGTCATTCTTGGTTCGAGTACTACTGGAACTGGTAGTACTTCCAAGTTCTCTGCAATTCTTTACTTTGTTCCCATTCCTTTACGCTTCTAGAAAGTGGCTGTAAGCAACTCACAGTTGAAGGAGCATTTGTAAAATGAGACCAGACCTAAAAAAGTACAGATTTTATGCCTCGTGTAACACTGGAAAAAGCTGCACATGCTTCAAGACTCATAGGGCAATGGAAACCTTGGAGTTATTTGTTATGCCAGAGGGGAAAATATTCTGATATTATTATTGTTTAGATGAGTTGGATTGTTACTGCAAACATTCATACATACATAGATGATTCCTAAACAGGAAGGCTTTTTTTTTTTTTTTTTTTTTTTTTTTGCTACTGTACCCATGTGACTTGGCTTTCTCCAAGTTCTTGTTGCATGGTGCTATTACTGTGAAGACCAAGTATCATCATGTAGTATTACATCACTACTCTGTATAAATGTTGTTAACAGTCATAATTTTCAAGTTTTTGTTGAAGTTGGTGCTTCTAGTTTAGAAGATTACCCTTGAATACTTGATTGTACTTGATGGAAACTGCTGTAATGTGAACTTCTTATTTGGGCTTTCCTTTTAAAATATGCTTGCGGGAATTATTTAAATCATATTAGTGATTATATGAGAGCAAAAAACAATGGGTAATATGAAAGTTCCTCTGGTTTTTGGCAGGTGCAGTTCTTCAAGTGCTTGCTCCAATGCTCTGTCAGCATCAATTCTCAGTTCCAAAGTTCTGGTGGGGGAGGAAATGCTGCACTTCAGCTCAGAAGTTTTAGAGATGTTTTTAATAGTGTTGATCTGCATTCTGCAGTATTTGAAGATTTAATCTTTTTTTACTTCATGTAATGTAGTAATGATCTTTGTGAGCAGAGTGGAAGAGAAGTGAAGTTAGCAAAATGAGTTATGTTTGTGGTGAAGCAGTTTGCAGCAGTTCCAAGTTTAGTCTGTCCACTAACATGTTTTCCTTATCTACTTGTCATAAATCTTCTGGTTTACCAAAGATTCATTTATCTGGAATATTAAAAAGAAGTATATTGCCTACTGTATATAATCAGGGTATTTTTAGAATCATTAGGAATAGCAGTTGTAGCCAAATGTTCATCTGCAAGAAACCTCCTGCCTTAGAAAATGTAAAACTTTAGGATTTGTGCGTAGTTTTATACCATGTAACCTTGTGCATATTTCATTAAATGTATTTCTTTAAAAGCAAATGAAATGGAACTGGATTTGTCTTACAGGGTTGCTGTTTATGAGGAGATCTCTAGTGAGGAGAAAATAAATGGTGGGGACTATTAATGCAAGGAGTTGTGGTAAACAGGCCTAGTGTTAATCATGTCCTTCTTGGAACATCAGAAAGGATGGGAGGGCCAGCGGGAAGTAGCTGTAGCTTTGAATGCTTTTGCCTGCAGAGGTATACAAGAAAAAAAATTCTGCCAGCCCTTAGGAGCCTAAAATTGAACACAGTGTATGCATGGGACATAGACCTTTTATGAGTAAATAACCGTATTAAAATTGATTTTCTTACTTTTTCTATACTAGTCATGCTGCGGTAAGGATACTGTAGTTGTTTTATAATTAAAATTGTAGTTTACGCCTTGTACTAAACCTGCAGGCGCCTAGAGAATGCATTCAGAAGTCTTATTCTCTGAAGTCTCTTCTGGTAATAGAGTATTAACACTTTGAATGCATAAGGCAAGTAACTTAATTACTCATTTTAGCAAATTCTCTTTGTGATAATCCGCACGAATATCTGTGAGAATCACTAAAGTGTTTGTTTTTGTCCCTTGAGACTATTTTGCAGCCTTGAAAAGAGAACATGTCAAAACGCAGTAAAAAAGCAGTATTTCAGGAGAATCTGATGTTGGCAGATTGTTTTCTTTATGTCTCTTTATAGTCCGTTTCACTACATGCCTGCCATTTCCTTTGATACTTGAAGATGTCCATAATTGCATATTGCACATTGATATTTTTTTTTTAAGAAGCTGCGTTTTTTTTTCATGACAGTTTAAGAGAAGTTTTCTAGACTTTTAAATTCCCCCTGCATGAGATGGTTTTTGTGACTACTTCAAATGCAGTGCTTTGTATTCCATTTTTCTCCATTCTTCAAACACAGGCAGCTGCATTTCCTCCAGCCTTTGTTTCACTCCTAAAATAATGGGCTACTTTATGAAATCTAATTGCTTCATTTAATTGTCTAATGCAGACAGCTTAATAACACATGCTGTACATCAGAGCTCTCACTGGCACTCAGCATGTCCTTAATACAGACTGTTTTGTTGATTATTTTTCAATTTCAGTTTGATTTCTAGTCACTGTCTTTGTTTCTCCCATGATTGCCAGAAGGTGGTTTGTGTTTTTCTTCCCATTCTCTGCATAGATCACCTATGTCCTTAAAATATGTTCCAGCACGGAAAATATTGTTCCAAGTTGTTTTCTCTACATGATTTATTACTTCTTTCCTCCGCCAGTGTTTTTATTGCAAGTTTTAAGGATGCACCAATAGAACTGCAGAAACCAGTTCACTGCTTCAACTGCATTCCATCAGAGCAAGAATTATGGGGGTCAGATGAGAGGTATGGGGCTTTGATGCCTGTGAGTAGTACAAGAGCTCTGGAAGAATCCGTTTTCATAACAGTTTTCATAGCGGAGGCTTTACTCCTTGTTGGGAGGGTATTTTGCAGTGGGTTCTGGGAACTGTAGGCTTAGGAGGAAGAAAGCACAAATGTACGCAGCTGCCAGTAAAGTCCGGATTAATGAAGAAAGAAACGATGGGCTTCTGTGCAATAAACTCACATGCATTCTTAATGACTACGTGGGCATACGTTTCTTCAGATCTATTTCTTCCAGTTTCCCCTTGAGAGCATTACTCATTCACTTCTTAAAAACAGACCGTTTAAAAAACAAAACATTATTAAACATGTTAAAATATGTTGCATCGCTGATGCTAGTCAAGTTTAAATTCACTAATTCCTGTGCTTGGATAAATATTGGAGATGGAGGTGATTTTTCGTTGTTTTCCAAACAGTCTGTGCTCACAGTACTGCTTGTTAATGGTGATGTAGCTTTCCCTTCTTTCAGCCTGGAGTTTAGTTTGTCAAATCAAAGGTTAGTTTCATGTCACTGACAGCTCTATTCTTAAGATGGCTTTCAGTCTACATAATAACCGGCTGTTGTAGAAAAGTTAAGGCTTTTGAAACTGTGTTCTTGAAAGCTGTGAAGGGGTTGATATTTTCTCTAATATATATTGTATAATGCATTTTAAAGCTATTCTCCAGGTTTACATCTCTAATGCATGTAATAAGTACCTTTGCTAAGAAGAGTAGCTTAACATTAACTCTGTATTGCAAAGTTCTGAAACTGGCATTTTTACTTCATAGTTTTCTGGCCTTTTGATCAGACTGTTGTGCTGAGTGAAATTGTAGAAGATGAAATTTGGACCCTTGTCAAGGAGATGTATAAAGATTCAATGGGGCTTTTCTGTTGATGACAGATTTGCAGGTGAGTCTACTGGTATAGACTTCTACGTAAAGCAATAGCACTGCAATTAAAAATGCTCACAATTTTTATTCACTTCTACTTCATACTTCCATTATTCCTGTTGATCACAGGTGGATTATTAGCTCTGTCTAATCTGCACAATTTAATAAGAGTGCTTCTTATTGTGGCCAACTTAACAGCTTTGCCACTGCCTGTAGTGAAGCTTTGCCTAAGGTGCTGTATGGCAGTATTTCTGTACACTGGTTGGGAAGTGATTAAGAGTGCAAACCTGGCACCAGATTTACATACAGTGAGCATATAAGCTATGAGGAAAGTTTTATGTAAAAATCATAGAATCGTAGAATGGGCCTGGGTTAAAAAGGATCTCAAAGATCATCTAGTTTAAACCCCACTGCTGCAGGCAGGGTCACCAGCCACTAGAGCAGGCTGCCCAGAGCCACATCCAGCCTGGCCTTGAATGCCTCCAGGGATGGGGCATCCACAGCCTCCTTGAGCAAAATTGAGCCTCAAAATTATTCTTGCTATAACCTTTTGAATTTTAAGCATTTATACACTTGTAGTTCTAGACAGAATTACCTCATTTTTTCCCTGACTCTTTTGCAGAATTTTTAATATTTGTTTTTTGAAAGATTTGTGTTTTTTTTTTTCTTTATGAAAAAGAGGTTCCTGCATCTAGATCCATCTGTTAAATAAAAAAAGGAAACGAAGGATCTGACCATTAGAGCTTAATGCTTTTCTTTTCTTCCTCCAACCAGCAATCTCGCTGAGAGTTGGTTCCTGTAGCTTCTAGGCATAGTGCCAAATTTAAAAAAAAAAAAAAATTGCAGAGAAAACGGGAATCAAAAGGGTGCAGCACCTGGCAGGTCTGGGCCCATGGTTTCTGAGTTCTAAATCCTGTATTCTTTCTTTATGCCATGTTAAATGGGAGTAGAATTTAGTCACAACTTCCTGGCTGTGAAGTCCCTAGTGTGGGAAACCCTGGCTAACCGGAATTACCTTCAAAGCCATTATTCCCATGGCAACTGCTTTGCACGAGAGTGCACTGGGCATGTGGCTGCAGCATGCTCCCTCCTGGCTATCCAGCTAGCTGAATAATGCTGGGAAGCTGTTACTAATTGGGAGACTTGCTGCCGTCTCTGGTAGCTGACCGTGTCAGAAACCCTAACTCCAAGTGCAGGAACATTGAGCAGAATTCCTGACTTGATTTTCTCCCTTCCTGCCCCGTTGAGATGGGAAAAACAAGGGAGAGCGGTCCTAGAAATCAAAGTATTTGCCTTTGACATTTCCTAAACATCAGCTGAGCACTTGGTGCTTCCATTTCTGCATTTAACCTGGGCTGTTAAACTCAAACTTGAGTGTCTAACTGCGTGTTTGTGCATGAAGTAACTCATATATATGCAGATGAATGAAAGCTAATGTGAGCTAAAAAAAAAAAAAAAAAAAGAAAAAGCACATACATTTTCTAGCTAACAGCTACTTGTAGCTCTGTCATATGCCCCTTAAATAAGTGGATTTCATTATACAACTCTTTCCTCCAAAACATTCTACTTTTTACAAAAATTAGCACTTCTTATATAAAAGAATGTTGCCTCTCTTACGATACATTGCATCTGAATGTCAAGTTCCACACTTGGGCTGTGAGTTGTAAGGGATATTAAGAGGTATGGTGTATATTAGATAACTGCAGGTACCAGTCTCTTTGTTCCATACAGCATTTTTTTTCCTTCATTTCCTGGACCTTCACCATTACCAGCACTCCAGCCCTGGCTCACTTTGAGCCTTTCTCACACAACCAAATGAGATCACTGAGGTGAGTGACAATTCAAACCTGTGGTTTTGTGTTATGCTAACACAGTATATGTCACTACCGTAACAACCTGACTGAACAGGAGGTACCCAAAAACAGTGGGTTTCACTCTAAGAGCAACACTGTGGATGTGGCCCTTATTTCCATCCTGGCTTCAGTGCACCAAGCAGGTGTGGAGCAGGGAGGTGTCTGAGATCCCAAGCAGCCCTTCAGCACTGCAGTCTCCTCCTCCTGCTGCAGGACATGCCAGCAAAGAGAGATGGCTGCAGCTCAGGGTTAAGCTATGGGGAGCTCAATTTGTTCCGTGAGGTCTGAGAAGTTCCCACGGGTTAATTTAGAGGAATTTGAGAAGGAATTATGGAGAAATTAGGTCAGTTCCTTTTACTTAAACAGCACCTATAGTGCCTCGTAGGCTTGTCCCGTTTTCTCCTTTAAAGATTACTTTCATCCATTATCTCCCTCCTACAAACTCATACCCCTGCACATCATGAATGTTGTTGAATGATTATCATACGGAAGCTAGAGGGAAGACAAATACTTATTTTCTTGGTTTGAAAAGGACTTTGACGTTGCTAGAATCATCCCAAGCTATTCAGATAGCCTGTTTCAGTGGGTTTTAATGGTTTCAAATAGGATATGACAGCCTCAATTCTAGGAAAGTGGCCACTAGTAGAATTACCCCGGTACCTGTATCCTGTTTTTTTTTGAAGTGTTATCATGTCAGATGTTACAGCAGCAGTGGCAGCTTCCTGTTTTCCCATGCAAAGAGAGGCAGTGGGCAGCTGCTGGCTAAAGAATGCCGCTGGCTTCTTTCAGTCACGTATTTTGGTACCACAGAGGTGGTGTTATTGAAGGCAGGCAAAACAGCTTCTAACCATGCAATTGAACTGAGCCACAGGACCTGAA